CCTGATGTTGTTGACCATATACCTTCATTGTTGGACCTTCTGCTGACTTCTCATCCGGACGGATATCTCTGTCGAAGCCCCACTGGGATCCTCTGATCATTGTCTGATACGGAGCGAAGTGCCTCTCACGCGTCCTTCTTTGCCGCGATCTATTGGTCGACGTCGTGTTTGGCATTTTAAGTCGGCAGATTGGGATGAGATGCGAAGTTTTTTTGCATCTTACCCATGGGGGCGACTTTGCTTCGCACTGGACGATCCCGATGCAATAGCTGAATCTGTCACCGATGTAGTACTTCAGGGAATGGAGATGTTTATTCCAAATTCCCTGGTACCTGTCGGTGGTAGATCTCAGTCCTGGTATGGCGGATCCTGTAGATCGGCGTCTCGCCATAAGCAGGAATGCTTCCGTGCCTGGATTGCAGCTGTGAAGTCGAGTGATCCAGATAGCAGTGCCCATAAAAGGAAGTATAACTCCGCTTCCAGGTCCTTCAAAAGAGTTATAACCACAGCAAAGTCGGAGCACATCAGCAGAATTGGTAGGAGACTGAACAGTCTTCCATCTGGATCCCGGGCTTTTTGGTCTCTTGCCAAGGCTGCTCAGAGAAATTTCTGTCAGCTATCTTTTCCACCACTGCGCAGAGAGGATAACTCGTGATCTTCTAGTGTATTTGACACATCGATGGGCAGATGCTATTGAGAGTAGGGGGGAGGCCCTATCTGTTAGTCTGGATATTGCGAAGGCCTTTGATCGGGTTTGGCACAAGGCTCTTCTTTCAAAGCTACCATCCTTTGGGTTGCCTGCGAAGTTATGCAAATGGGTCGCCAGCTTTCTCGCTGATCGGAGCATCAAGATCGTTGTCGATGGTGCTTGCTCCGACACACTCTGTGAATGCTGGTGTTCCACAAGGCTGTGTGATATCTCCGACTCTGTTCCTTCTGCATATCAATGACATGTTACAAATCAACAACATTCATTGCTATGCGGATGACAGTACCGGAGATGCCTTGTACAGCGGCCATGCTAATATGTCGCAGGCAAAAGTTATAGAGTACCGGAACAAACTTGTGTCCGAAATCGAAACTTCACTCCATCAAGTTTCGGTCTGGGGTCAGGAAAATTGTGTTCAATTCAACCCCAAGAAGACACAAGTTTGCGTGTTTACCGCTAAAAATAATCCATTTATCGTATCTCCTCAGTTTCAAGACACTCTCCTTGATGTGAAGCCAAATCTCGAGGTCCTTGGCGTTCCAGTGACGTTCAGTTTTGCGGTCATTTGGAGGACAAGGCTAAAATAGCCTCAAAGAAGCTTGGTGTGCTCAGTAGAGTGAGACGGTATTTCACGGCGGCCCATCGCTTGCAATTATACAAGGCGCAGATCCGGCCGCATATGGAATACTGTTCTCATCTCTGGGCCGGAGCACCACAATACCAGCTACTTCCATTTGACCGCATTCAGAACCGAGCAGCCAGAATCATTGGTAATCAACGTCTATGTGACAGACTCGACCCATTGGCTTTGCGGCGAGATATTGCATCTCTGTGCATTTTCTACCGCATATATCACGGGGAGTGTTCTGAGGAATTGTTCGGATTAATACCAGCTGCTGAGTTTCACCACCGTACCACCCGTCAGAAACTGAAATCCTGATCATCTGGATGAATGGCGGTCTTCCACAGTACGATTTTCTAGAAACTTTTTGCCTCGCACAACCACATTGTGGAATCACCTTCCAGCAATGGAAAAGAGCTTATTCCTTTTTAAAAGGCCGACAACGTACTTGCAATTCCCCTGGTGTTGCGGGTGCTCATGGGCGGCGGTAATCACTTGCCATGTGTTATAAAAACAAAAAAAAAAGGACATAGGCTACTTTTTAATGCGAAAAAGGGTTGTAAGGGGTTAAAATTGGGGATGAAAGATTGTATGGAAGAATCGTCATTTTTGAAGCTAGAAGCTTGAAACTTTTTGAGGCTGTTAATTAAATATAAATAAATATGGCATACAAAATTTTAAAAAATGTTTCTCTTAAGGGGGTTAAATAAATTAGGTAATAATTTTTTTATGTAAAATCGTTATTATTGAAGCTAGAAGATTGAAACTTATTTTCGAGGCTGTTGATTAAATTTAAACAAATATGACATGCTAAGCTTGTAAAAATCTTACCCTTAGTGGGTAAAATAAATAGGGGATGAAAGTTTTTATGTAAATTTGTCATTTTTGAAGCTAGAAACTGATTTTTGAGGCTGTTGATTGAATAGATATAAATAAATAGATCATCAAATTTTGTAAAAATGTTACCCTTAAGGGGTTAAAGCTTTTTGAGTTAGTTTATTGAATACCTTACTAATATTATAACTGTAAAAGTAATTCTGTCTGTCTGTCAGTCTCACTTACATGCCAAAACTACTGAATAGATTTAAGTGAAATTTGGTACACAATTAGTCTAGATCTTGAGAAAGCACATAGGATACTTTTGGTTCCGAAAAAATGGTTGTAAGGGGGTTGAAATGGTAGATGCAAGGTTGTACATAATAATCATCATTTTAAAGGTAGAAGCTTGAAACTTATATTTTAGGCTGGTGATTAAATATGAATAAATATGACATTCAAAATTTTTTAAATATTTACCATTAAAAAAAAATAGGGGATGAAAGATTTTAGGTAAATTCGTAATTTTTGAAGCCAGATCTATGAAACTTCATGGGCTTTTTTGGGTTAGTTTATAAAATACCCCACTAATATACATAATATTATATATATATTTATAAACTATAATTTTTATTTATTTTTATATTAATCTTTTTATTTTTATAATTCCCCACTAATATATAATATTAGTGGGGTATTTTATAAACTAAACTATGAAAGTAACTTTATCTGTCTGTCTGTCAGTCTCACTTACACGCCAAAACTACAGAACCAATTTAAAATAAATTTGGTACACAGTTAGTCTAGACCCTGAGAAAGGACATAGGCTACTTTTGAATGCGATAGAAGGGTTGTAAGGGGTTAAAAGGGTACATGCAAGGTTGCCCGACCTGACCGACGGTTGGGTCCTAGAAGTGCCAGGCGTCGATACCGGCGACAAAGCGAACTCACTGGTCGCAAGGTTAGTAGAGATCTTGCCAGTAAGGAAAAGTCCGGGTCACAAGGAGACCCGTCCCGAGGATGTAACCTGAAACGGAACGTCAGAGGCCAGAGCCAAAATAATCTGTGTGACATTGACAAGTAGATGACGGATGATTGAACGTAGGCAGCGGGAGTTTTGGAGCGAAAAAGTTGGTGTTTATATTATTATAAAAACAAATAAGAGATAGGTAATTGTGAATAATGTAGGCATTGAGGTGTTTCTCTCCCTGACCAACTGGGATTACGTCTAAATCGTCAGGATACTAGCGATTTTAATAATACCTACTATATAAATTGTATAAGGCGAATGGAGGTAAAATCAAGGTATGTAATGCTTAGGGAGTAGGTAGGTACCTAATGTACCTACTCCCTAAGCATACCTTGATTTTCAGAAATATAAGTTGGGGTCACTTTTTATTTATGCATTTTTGCGGCTTTTGCACAATCTTTGTTGGGCTAACTATTCTTTCTTGGTTTTAGTTTTAGTTTTTAGTTTTACTTGGTAATCCGACACCTAGATAAAAATATAAAAGTGTGTTTAATTAGAATTAATAATTAATGAACAATAATAATTAGTTATTTAAGACATAAAGTTAATTCGTAATTAGTGTTTAAAAGTAGTAGAGTCTCGTAAACATATTATATTTCACGTCAATCACATATCATTAGTATCAATAAAAATGGCATTAGTCATTATAGGTACTAAACAGAAAACATTGGACTCATAAAAAAAATAATGGTTTGGTAAATTCATTGACGGACTGATCAAACATTAATCGAAAACGTAGCAGGTGTTGACAGGTGACAGTCCGTTAACCCCGAAAATTTTGTACGAAATCCTCAAAAAAAAATATTTAAGATAAATCCCCTCATAAAGAAGTTAACGTATGATGTTCATCATAGACGATCTTTTTTTAAGCCGTATAATACAACATTTCTTTATTATTAGGCAGTGTGTTATGAAGTATTTGTTGATTTTAGTCAGAACCTTTATGTGTTTGTTTTTTTGAAACGTGGTATAATATCGTCTTATAACATAATAGTTCATACAGTTTATAAACAGTATACAATTATAAACAGTTTAAAATTTTACGTGCATTAATAAAGTAATTGATACTCGTTAATATACTAACTAAATACAGTCAACATTAGCGGTCAGAGTTTATTTTCTTCATAAATACAATAACATAATTAAATAGAACATTAAATACATTTAGATTTTGTTGATTAGATAATGATTAAAATGACGTTTTATTTGTAATTGAAATGTTAACATACTTTTACTTTATGACATAATTTTGGCAAAATTTTAACAGCAGTTAGCAAATTTTGTATTAGTCGTGTTAGGCAACATTGGGCGGGTGTATCCCCGATTTATTTGGGAACACAGGGCCACAAGTAGGTAAGGTGAGTGTTACTGTGTATATATAACTTACATACGTTCTAAAAAGAGCAAGCAAACTAAGAGAAAGTCTTTGGAACGCGTTTTGTAGGGTATTGATGGTAACATTCCGAGTAATGTTTTAATTCTAAAACGTTAATCACACAAATTAAAACATTAGCTTCATAATTAACACTTATAGTTATATACTATACTATATAGTTCATTACATTTTTCAATAATTTTACGATAAGACAAATTCGAATCCAATGTTTTTTTGAACATAAATCTGGCACAACTTTTTAATATTTATCATAATGCTTTTTAACATTCACATTGCGTTTATAAAACTTCTCACATCATAGACATTAATTAAAGGTTTTAACATATCTTTGGAAATAGGTACTAATGAAATTACATTTCTACAGAATTGCAATTGCGCTGAAGAAAGCATATAAAGTTTTGGAGTATTACGATAATAAGATCTAGATATGGATCAGAACGATGATGATCCTCCTAGCGATGTTAAGAACGGTAACAGAAATATGTCATTGGGAGGTGAGTAATCATTTATATTCCTCATTTATAATGTTGTCAGCAATTCTTATACTAACTATGTTTTTTATACTCGTGAACGGATGATGCGGGAGTGGTCTGTTCTGACGAGGATGACTGATTTAATTTGTTACTCTAGTAATAATTAACTTTTGTCAGTCTATTTGCCACTAATTTATTTGAAATCCATACATATAAATAAAATTGGAGTGTCCGTTTGTAATATTGAAATAACCCATTTTTACTACATGCATGTGAATATAAATACGATACATACACCAAATTAATATTTTTTACAATTTTTGTCTGTCTGTCTGTTTATTCCGGCTAATATCTGATATGGCTAGATCGATTTTTACGGGACTTTTTTTAATTTTATTCATATTTCTAAATGGTTAAATCAACATACGGATGATTTTTATAATCCAGGCAAAGGAAACATGAAATCAAGTACAAGCCAGGGTGGCAATACTGGTGCCAAAGTCATTCCCAAAGAAACTCTTACTGAAGATGATTGGAAAACACAAGTAAGTTTCATTGATAATAATCATAAAATAATATACTCTCATCACAGTCATCTTAAGCGGAGTAGTCAGAAATTATCATTGCCGATCTTTTCTGGCCTTCGACAGACTAAGTGTTGTTGTATCTGTTCATAGTAGGTACGATATACGAACATACGGCTGACTCCAAGCTTTTGAAGTGCCTGGAATATGACCGACGGCTTCATATCCATTTTGTGCAAGGCGATCACTAGAATCCTTTTTTCTTTAACACTCCTGTTTCGTCATCATTTTTATTGTTTTATATATACGTTTCATACACGCAGTCTAATTGAATTGAAATGACCAATCACTGACCAGTTTCTTGACTGGTCGTACTATAGCCGATCGTAACAGCAATCGGCTGATCACGTGACAATTTTCGTGATGAGAAATCTTGTCTCTCGATTCGATGCGAATGGCGGTTGCAACGTGGCTAAGTATTATAAAATCCAAATTTAAGCCAAAGAACCCTATGAACCATTATTCCAATTCCATCAAGTTCCTGAAGTATTCCTCAAGTAGTGAAACCTGAAGTGGACAGCAGATCCGAAGTGGAAACCCGAAGAGCAAAACGCAACAATGGAGAATCGATCCCCGGCTCTTCCAGGGGAATATACGACGATCCGTCTATGTGTAAGTAGTGCTTGGCCTATATCTTTCCTTCTTCCTTTGTACCACTTGTCGATAGAAGCGATCGTTGATCGCGGTCGGTTGAAATGTAATTCATGAAATAAACACGAAGTACTTGCAGTTGTGTGCAAAATAATGTTTGTGATGGATGAAGATACTCTAATTTGGATTTGTGAAACATCTTTTAAGCTAGAAGAAATAACGAAGGCAGAAAAGATATTATTTATATCTGTACCACTTATACAAATGAAGACAAAAAATGAGAACACATGCAGGAAGGATTAAGAGGAAATTTCAAAATCTATTAAAACAGGTGGATGCTTCAAATCCGGAAATACCTGTAACTTTCGACCACGTAGATGTGATACGATTATTGAGTGATATTTTATTAGTGTAAAGTAAATTAAAAACTGTGAAAAGTGAATATGTGGGTCACCAACAATTGCAAGAGGCATTAAAACAATCTGTGGAAAAATCGTCTCGTCATAAAAATAAGAGGAGGGTATATGCTGAATCTGAATAGCAGTAATTAGCACGACAGTGGACCGGTGGGTGTCCTTCTGTGATCGTTCGATTGTAGTATTTAGTATTTATATGACTGATACACAGATTCATTCGATAATTTGAGGGAATTCAATACGTGCTGAAGTGAAATAAATGCTATTATTGAAAATAATGGCGTTGAGCTATGTATAGATATGTTAGGGGATTTCCTATCGACCATTTTGGAATGAACTATGTTGTTTTCGTCGAGAACATCGTTATGTTCTGGTTGTGAGTTGATGTTGATAGACTGGGCATCCAATCTTAAGTGATTACATATGTTTTTTTTGATGGATGATAATGGTACACGCCTGCGCTGACGGTTTACGCTGGCGAGGCACCAGTGGAGGACGATAACATGAACATGAGGTCAGGTCAGTATTTACATATGTTTATATATGTTAGTGATCTAAATGATAGTAGACGCTGGTTGGATCAGTGTGTGGTGACTCGATCGGCATGTGAAACTGTTACGAACATATAGGTCAGGCTGTTTGTTGGTCTGACTGACCACTTGCCTCTAATCATTGAATGGCCATTAGAGAAGATTAAGCTAAAAATAAATATACATATAAATATAGTAACAAAATATTATAGGGAGAGAGCGCAGTGATTACCATGACCTTTGTAATATTAAATTAAAAGAAATCTAATTTCCTAAATTATTTGGAGATTGTGCTGACAAGATGGTAAATAATACTGTGCATGGGCGTGAACTTGACAGGTTGTATACTGAAATCTTACAATTATTATCAAAAGCCAGCAACGTACCAAAGCAAAGCAAAACATACCAGCTGTGAGCTATACCCTAAGTGCAATCGTGTTGTGCTGGAATATGCATGTTAGAGAAGCTCACAGGAGGCTCGGCTTGAGTATGAGGTTTGGTTGTTTAATAATGTCTGGGACAAACAGGCTGGAGTGTGGGGTCACGCAAGGAGGGTTGACGTCATCGAAGCTCTTAAACCTGTATATTAATGATCTCATTGTTGAGCTTCATAGGAAACCATTTGGATGTCAAATAGATGGCGTCAGTATGAATAATCTCAACTACGCAGATGATATGGTGCTATTGGGTCCGACGGCGGGATCAATCAGAGATTTGATACATACCTGTGAGGGTTACGTTTTAAGGCACGGTCTTGTGTATAATACTAAGAGAAAGCGAGTACCTGGTCTTTATAGTCCCTAAAAAGCAGGGACCATGCGATGCTAAAATATTGCTCAATGGCTACTTAAGAGAGTGCACCACTCTCTTAAGTAGCCATTGAGCAATATTAAGTTATTATTTTAAGTTAGATACTTATGGACCTGGACCTGTTGGACAAAAAGAGAGAACGCAGGGCGTTGGCGGGGAGATTAATGTTGGCGCATACATTCTCGCGGTGTAGTAACGAATCAAAATATTGTTTAAAGCACACTGCCAAACTTTTTACACAAGCGTCCTACAACCCCCTGTGTGTACAATATAACAACTGTTTCAGGATATTGATGGGGCTATCGTGTTTCTGTAGTGCATCTGACATGTTCGCTCTTGCACGACTTTTATGCCATGATCAGAAAAAAATTGCAGCTTTATTAAAATTAAACATTGATTAAAAAAAATACCTACCTATTAAGATTACACTACATTTTGTTAGTATACTTGTTAGTAGTAAGTAAGTAACAACTTATAACCACTATTAGTGTATTACTACTAAATATATTAATATAATAAATATAAGAATTTCACTAACATTAAAACTAGCTGCACTCGCGACTTCGCGTGAAATATCATTTTATTTTTCTAAAATAAAAGTAGCCTAAGTTACTCCTTATGTACATATCCTTAATGTACATATACCTACTTCTAATATTTACATGGGTATATATTTATCAATATTAAAAGATAATACGTGTTATAGTAGTCATTATATTTTAATTTTTTAGGATCTGTATAAGAAGTTCAGAGGAATACTTAATAAATTGACCCCTCATAAGTTTGACACTTTATTAGAGAAAGTGAAAACTCTCAATATTGATACACAAACACGTCTCGAGGGTGTCATTGACATTGTTTTTGAAAAGGCTATAGATGAACCTAATTTCTCGGAAGCCTATGCAGCAATGTGTAACAAACTCAATATACACTCTCAACTACACTACAATATACCTACACTCAAAATATACACTAATATACTAATTAAATTATTATTTACAGTCAACTCCAACGTATGAAAATATGCCATTCGCACCGATACAACAGAGGCCCATTATTAGCGATACGTTTATGCCTGCATTTGGAAAAGGCTCAAATTTAGCGGGTGTTATTAGAAGTAATGTTCCTCGTGATGTTAAGAAAAATAGCAGAAATATGTCATTGGGAGGCGAGTAATCATTTATAATGTCGTTAGTTATCCTTATCCAACTTTTATTTAAGCTCTTATACTCGTAATGGGATTGGTCTGACGACTGATTTAATTTGTTACTCTAGTAATAATTAACTTTTGTCAGTCTATTTGCCACTAATTTATTTGAAATCCATACATATAAATAAAATTGGAGTGTCCGTTTGTAATATTGAAATAACCCATTTTTACTACATGCATGTGAATATAAATACGATACATACACCAAATTAATATTTTTTACAATTTTTGTCTGTCTGTCTGTTTATTCCGGCTAATATCTGATATGGCTAGATCGATTTTTACGGGACTTTTTTTAATTTTATTCATATTTCTAAATGGTTAAATCAACATACGGATGATTTTTATAATCCAGGCAAAGGAAACATGAAATCAAGTACAAGCCAGGGTGGCAATACTGGTGCCAAAGTCATTCCCAAAGAAACTCTTACTGAAGATGATTGGAAAACACAAGTAAGTTTCATTGATAATAATCATAAAATAATATACTCTCATCACAGTCATCTTAAGCGGAGTAGTCAGAAATTATCATTGCCGATCTTTTCTGGCCTTCGACAGACTAAGTGTTGTTGTATCTGTTCATAGTAGGTACGATATACGAACATACGGCTGACTCCAAGCTTTTGAAGTGCCTGGAATATGACCGACGGCTTCATATCCATTTTGTGCAAGGCGATCACTAGAATCCTTTTTTCTTTAACACTCCTGTTTCGTCATCATTTTTATTGTTTTATATATACGTTTCATACACGCAGTCTAATTGAATTGAAATGACCAATCACTGACCAGTTTCTTGACTGGTCGTACTATAGCCGATCGTAACAGCAATCGGCTGATCACGTGACAATTTTCGTGATGAGAAATCTTGTCTCTCGATTCGATGCGAATGGCGGTTGCAACGTGGCTAAGTATTATAAAATCCAAATTTAAGCCAAAGAACCCTATGAACCATTATTCCAATTCCATCAAGTTCCTGAAGTATTCCTCAAGTAGTGAAACCTGAAGTGGACAGCAGATCCGAAGTGGAAACCCGAAGAGCAAAACGCAACAATGGAGAATCGATCCCCGGCTCTTCCAGGGGAATATACGACGATCCGTCTATGTGTAAGTAGTGCTTGGCCTATATCTTTCCTTCTTCCTTTGTACCACTTGTCGATAGAAGCGATCGTTGATCGCGGTCGGTTGAAATGTAATTCATGAAATAAACACGAAGTACTTGCAGTTGTGTGCAAAATAATGTTTGTGATGGATGAAGATACTCTAATTTGGATTTGTGAAACATCTTTTAAGCTAGAAGAAATAACGAAGGCAGAAAAGATATTATTTATATCTGTACCACTTATACAAATGAAGACAAAAAATGAGAACACATGCAGGAAGGATTAAGAGGAAATTTCAAAATCTATTAAAACAGGTGGATGCTTCAAATCCGGAAATACCTGTAACTTTCGACCACGTAGATGTGATACGATTATTGAGTGATATTTTATTAGTGTAAAGTAAATTAAAAACTGTGAAAAGTGAATATGTGGGTCACCAACAATTGCAAGAGGCATTAAAACAATCTGTGGAAAAATCGTCTCGTCATAAAAATAAGAGGAGGGTATATGCTGAATCTGAATAGCAGTAATTAGCACGACAGTGGACCGGTGGGTGTCCTTCTGTGATCGTTCGATTGTAGTATTTAGTATTTATATGACTGATACACAGATTCATTCGATAATTTGAGGGAATTCAATACGTGCTGAAGTGAAATAAATGCTATTATTGAAAATAATGGCGTTGAGCTATGTATAGATATGTTAGGGGATTTCCTATCGACCATTTTGGAATGAACTATGTTGTTTTCGTCGAGAACATCGTTATGTTCTGGTTGTGAGTTGATGTTGATAGACTGGGCATCCAATCTTAAGTGATTACATATGTTTTTTTTGATGGATGATAATGGTACACGCCTGCGCTGACGGTTTACGCTGGCGAGGCACCAGTGGAGGACGATAACATGAACATGAGGTCAGGTCAGTATTTACATATGTTTATATATGTTAGTGATCTAAATGATAGTAGACGCTGGTTGGATCAGTGTGTGGTGACTCGATCGGCATGTGAAACTGTTACGAACATATAGGTCAGGCTGTTTGTTGGTCTGACTGACCACTTGCCTCTAATCATTGAATGGCCATTAGAGAAGATTAAGCTAAAAATAAATATACATATAAATATAGTAACAAAATATTATAGGGAGAGAGCGCAGTGATTACCATGACCTTTGTAATATTAAATTAAAAGAAATCTAATTTCCTAAATTATTTGGAGATTGTGCTGACAAGATGGTAAATAATACTGTGCATGGGCGTGAACTTGACAGGTTGTATACTGAAATCTTACAATTATTATCAAAAGCCAGCAACGTACCAAAGCAAAGCAAAACATACCAGCTGTGAGCTATACCCTAAGTGCAATCGTGTTGTGCTGGAATATGCATGTTAGAGAAGCTCACAGGAGGCTCGGCTTGAGTATGAGGTTTGGTTGTTTAATAATGTCTGGGACAAACAGGCTGGAGTGTGGGGTCACGCAAGGAGGGTTGACGTCATCGAAGCTCTTAAACCTGTATATTAATGATCTCATTGTTGAGCTTCATAGGAAACCATTTGGATGTCAAATAGATGGCGTCAGTATGAATAATCTCAACTACGCAGATGATATGGTGCTATTGGGTCCGACGGCGGGATCAATCAGAGATTTGATACATACCTGTGAGGGTTACGTTTTAAGGCATGGTCTTGTGTATAATACTAAGAGAAAGCGAGTACCTGGTCTTTATAGTCCCTAAAAAGCAGGGACCATGCGATGCTAAAATATTGCTCAATGGCTACTTAAGAGAGTGCACCACTCTCTTAAGTAGCCATTGAGCAATATTAAGTTATTATTTTAAGTTAGATACTTATGGACCTGGACCTGTTGGACAAAAAGAGAGAACGCAGGGCGTTGGCGGGGAGATTAATGTTGGCGCATACATTCTCGCGGTGTAGTAACGAATCAAAATATTGTTTAAAGCACACTGCCAAACTTTTTACACAAGCGTCCTACAACCCCCTGTGTGTACAATATAACAACTGTTTCAGGATATTGATGGGGCTATCGTGTTTCTGTAGTGCATCTGACATGTTCGCTCTTGCACGACTTTTATGCCATGATCAGAAAAAAAATTGCAGCTTTATTAAAATTAAACATTGAGTAAAAAAAATACCTACCTATTAAGATTACACTACATTTTGTTAGTATACTTGTTAGTAGTAAGTAAGTAACAACTTATAACCACTATTAGTGTATTACTACTAAATATATTAATATAATAAATATAAGAATTTCACTAACATTAAAACTAGCTGCACTCGCGACTTCGCGTGAAATATCATTTTATTTTTCTAAAATAAAAGTAGCCTAAGTTACTCCTTATGTACATATATCCTTAATGTACATATACCTACTTCTAATATTTACATGGGTATATATTTATCAATATTAAAAGATAATACGTGTTATAGTAGTCATTATATTTTAATTTTTTAGGATCTGTATAAGAAGTTCAGAGGAATACTTAATAAATTGACCCCTCATAAGTTTGACACTTTATTAGAGAAAGTGAAAACTCTCAATATTGATACACAAACACGTCTCGAGGGTGTCATTGACATTGTTTTTGAAAAGGCTATAGATGAACCTAATTTCTCGGAAGCCTATGCAGCAATGTGTAACAAACTCAATATACACTCTCAACTACACTACAATATACCTACACTCAAAATATACACTAATACACTAATTAAATTATTATTTACAGTCAACTCCAACGTATGAAAATATGCCATTCGCACCGATACAACAGAGGCCCATTATTAGCGATACGTTTATGCCTGCATTTGGAAAAGGCTCAAATTTAGCGGGTGTTATTAGAAGTAATGTTCCTCGTGATGTTAAGAAAAATAGCAGAAATATGTCATTGGGAGGCGAGTAATCATTTATAATGTCGTTAGTTATCCTTATCCAACTTTTATTTAAGCTCTTATACTCGTAATGGGATTGGTCTGACGACTGATTTAATTTGTTACTCTAGTAATAATTAACTTTTGTCAGTCTATTTGCCACTAATTTATTTGAAATCCATACATATAAATAAAATTGGAGTGTCCGTTTGTAATATTGAAATAACCCATTTTTACTACATGCATGTGAATATAAATACGATACATACACCAAATTAATATTTTTTACAATTTTTGTCTGTCTGTCTGTTTATTCCGGCTAATATCTGATATGGCTAGATCGATTTTTACGGGACTTTTTTTAATTTTATTCATATTTCTAAATGGTTAAATCAACATACGGATGATTTTTATAATCCAGGCAAAGGAAACATGAAATCAAGTACAAGCCAGGGTGGCAATACTGGTGCCAAAGTCATTCCCAAAGAAACTCTTACTGAAGATGATTGGAAAACACAAGTAAGTTTCATTGATAATAATCATAAAATAATATACTCTCATCACAGTCATCTTAAGCGGAGTAGTCAGAAATTATCATTGCCGATCTTTTCTGGCCTTCGACAGACTAAGTGTTGTTGTATCTGTTCATAGTAGGTACGATATACGAACATACGGCTGACTCCAAGCTTTTGAAGTGCCTGGAATATGACCGACGGCTTCATATCCATTTTGTGCAAGGCGATCACTAGAATCCTTTTTTCTTTAACACTCCTGTTTCGTCATCATTTTTATTGTTTTATATATACGTTTCATACACGCAGTCTAATTGAATTGAAATGACCAATCACTGACCAGTTTCTTGACTGGTCGTACTATAGCCGATCGTAACAGCAATCGGCTGATCACGTGACAATTTTCGTGATGAGAAATCTTGTCTCTCGATTCGATGCGAATGGCGGTTGCAACGTGGCTAAGTATTATAAAATCCAAATTTAAGCCAAAGAACCCTATGAACCATTATTCCAATTCCATCAAGTTCCTGAAGTATTCCTCAAGTAGTGAAACCTGAAGTGGACAGCAGATCCGAAGTGGAAACCCGAAGAGCAAAACGCAACAATGGAGAATCGATCCCCGGCTCTTCCAGGGGAATATACGACGATCCGTCTATGTGTAAGTAGTGCTTGGCCTATATCTTTCCTTCTTCCTTTGTACCACTTGTCGATAGAAGCGATCGTTGATCGCGGTCGGTTGAAATGTAATTCATGAAATAAACACGAAGTACTTGCAGTTGTGTGCAAAATAATGTTTGTGATGGATGAAGATACTCTAATTTGGATTTGTGAAACATCTTTTAAGCTAGAAGAAATAACGAAGGCAGAAAAGATATTATTTATATCTGTACCACTTATACAAATGAAGACAAAAAATGAGAACACATGCAGGAAGGATTAAGAGGAAATTTCAAAATCTATTAAAACAGGTGGATGCTTCAAATCCGGAAATACCTGTAACTTTCGACCACGTAGATGTGATACGATTATTGAGTGATATTTTATTAGTGTAAAGTAAATTAAAAACTGTGAAAAGTGAATATGTGGGTCACCAACAATTGCAAGAGGCATTAAAACAATCTGTGGAAAAATCGTCTCGTCATAAAAATAAGAGGAGGGTATATGCTGAATCTGAATAGCAGTAATTAGCACGACAGTGGACCGGTGGGTGTCCTTCTGTGATCGTTCGATTGTAGTATTTAGTATTTATATGACTGATACACAGATTCATTCGATAATTTGAGGGAATTCAATACGTGCTGAAGTGAAATAAATGCTATTATTGAAAATAATGGCGTTGAGCTATGTATAGATATGTTAGGGGATTTCCTATCGACCATTTTGGAATGAACTATGTTGTTTTCGTCGAGAACATCGTTATGTTCTGGTTGTGAGTTGATGTTGATAGACTGGGCATCCAATCTTAAGTGATTACATATGTTTTTTTTGATGGATGATAATGGTACACGCCTGCGCTGACGGTTTACGCTGGCGAGGCACCAGTGGAGGACGATAACATGAACATGAGGTCAGGTCAGTATTTACATATGTTTATATATGTTAGTGATCTAAATGATAGTAGACGCTGGTTGGATCAGTGTGTGGTGACTCGATCGGCATGTGAAACTGTTACGAACATATAGGTCAGGCTGTTTGTTGGTCTGACTGACCACTTGCCTCTAATCATTGAATGGCCATTAGAGAAGATTAAGCTAAAAATAAATGTACATATAAATATAGTAACAAAATATTATAGGGAGAGAGCGCAGTGATTACCATGACCTTTGTAATATTAAATTAAAAGAAATCTAATTTCCTAAATTATTTGGAGATTGTGCTGACAAGATGGTAAATAATACTGTGCATGGGCGTGAACTTGACAGGTTGTATACTGAAATCTTACAATTATTATCAAAAGCCAGCAACGTACCAAAGCAAAGCAAAACATACCAGCTGTGAGCTATACCCTAAGTGCAATCGTGTTGTGCTGGAATATGCATGTTAGAGAAGCTCACAGGGAGGCTCGGCTTGAGTATGAGGTTTGGTTGTTTAATAATGTCTGGGACAAACAGGCTGGAGTGTGGGGTCACGCAAGGAGGGTTGACGTCATCGAAGCTCTTAAACCTGTATATTAATGATCTCATTGTTGAGCTTCATAGGAAACCATTTGGATGTCAAATAGATGGCGTCAGTATGAATAATCTCAACTACGCAGATGATATGGTGCTATTGGGTCCGACGGCGGGATCAATCAGAGATTTGATACATACCTGTGAGGGTTACGTTTTAAGGCACGGTCTTGTGTATAATACTAAGAGAAAGCGAGTACCTGGTCTTTATAGTCCCTAAAAAGCAGGGACCATGCGATGCTAAAATATTGCTCAATGGCTACTTAAGAGAGTGCACCACTCTCTTAAGTAGCCATTGAGCAATATTAAGTTATTATTTTAAGTTAGATACTTATGGACCTGGACCTGTTGGACAAAAAGAGAGAACGCAGGGCGTTGGCGGGGAGATTAATGTTGGCGCATACATTCTCGCGGCGTAGTAACGAATCAAAATATTGTTTAAAGCACACTGCCAAACTTTTTACACAAGCGTCCTACAACCCCCTGTGTGTACAATATAACAACTGTTTCAGGATATTGATGGGGCTATCGTGTTTCTGTAGTGCATCTGACATGTTCGCTCTTGCACGACTTTTATGCCATGATCAGAAAAAAAATTGCAGCTTTATTAAAATTAAACATTGATTAAAAAAAATACCTACCTATTAAGATTACACTACATTTTGTTAGTATACTTGTTAGTAGTAAGTAAGTAACAACTTATAACCACTATTAGTGTATTACTACTAAATATATTAATATAATAAATATAAGAATTTCACTAACATTAAAACTAGCTGCACTCGCGACTTCGCGTGAAATATCATTTTATTTTTCTAAAATAAAAGTAGCCTAAGTTACTCCTTATGTAAATATCCTTAATGTACATATACCTACTTCTAATATTTACATGGGTATATATTTATCAATATTAAAAGATAATACGTGTTATAGTAGTCATTATATTTTAATTTTTTAGGATCTGTATAAAAGTTCAGAGGAATACTTAATAAATTGACCCCTCATAAGTTTGACACTTTATTAGAGAAAGTGAAAACTCTCAATATTGATACACAAACACGTCTCGAGGGTGTCATTGACATTGTTTTTGAAAAGGCTATAGATGAACCTAATTTCTCGGAAGCCTATGCAGCGATGTGTAACAAACTCAATATACACTCTCAACTACACTACAATATACCTACACTCAAAATATACACTAATACACTAATTAAATTATTATTTACAGTCAACTCCAACGTATGAAAATATGCCATTCGCACCGATACAACAGAGGCCCATTATTAGCGATACGTTTATGCCTGCATTTGGAAAAGGCTCAAATTTAGCGGGTGTTATTAGAAGTAATGTTCCTCGTGATGTTAAGAAAAATAGCAGAAATATGTCATTGGGAGGCGAGTAATCATTTATAATGTCGTTAGTTATCCTTATCCAACTTTTATTTAAGCTCTTATACTCGTAATGGGATTGGTCTGACGACTGATTTAATTTGTTACTCTAGTAATAATTAACTTTTGTCAGTCTATTTGCCACTAATGTATTTGAAACCATACATATAAATAAAATTGGAGTGTCCGTTTGTAATATTGAAATAACCCATTTTTACTACATGCATGTGAATATAAATACGATACATACACCAAATTAATATTTTTTACAATTTTTGTCTGTCTGTCTGTTTATTCCGGCTAATATCTGATATGGCTAGATCGATTTTTACGGGACTTTTTTTAATTTTATTCATATTTCTAAATGGTTAAATCAACATACGGATGATTTTTATAATCCAGGCAAAGGAAACATGAAATCAAGTACAAGCCAGGGTGGCAATACTGGTGCCAAAGTCATTCCCAAAGAAACTCTTACTGAAGATGATTGGAAAGCACAAGTAAGTTTCATTGATAATAATCATAAAATAATATACTCTCATCACAGTCATCCTAAGCGGAGTAGTCAGAAATTATCATTGCCGATAAGTGTTGTTGTATCTGTTGATAGTAGGTACGATATACGAACATACGGCTGACTCCAAGCTTTTGAAGTGCCTGGAATATGACCGACGGCTTCATATCCATTTTGTGCAAGGCGATCACTAGAATCCTTTTTTCTTTAACACTCCTGTTTCGTCATCATTTTTATTGTTTTATATATACGTTTCATACACGCAGTCTAATTGAATTGAAATGACCAATCACTGACCAGTTTCTTGACTGGTCGTACTATAGCCGATCGTAACAGCAATCGGCTGATCACGTGACAATTTTCGTGATGAGAAATCTTGTCTCTCGATTCGATGCGAATGGCGGTTGCAACGTGGCTAAGTATTATAAAATCCAAATTTAAGCCAAAGAACCCTATGAACCATTATTCCAATTCCATCAAGTTCCTGAAGTATTCCTCAAGTAGTGAAACCTGAAGTGGACAGCAGATCCGAAGTGGAAACCCGAAGAGCAAAACGCAACAATGGAGAATCGATCCCCGGCTCTTCCAGGGGAATATACGACGATCCGTCTATGTGTAAGTAGTGCTTGGCCTATATCTTTCCTTCTTCCTTTGACTTGTCGATAGAAGCGATCGTTGATTCGGTTGAAATGTAATTCATGAAATAAACACGAAGTACTTGCAGTTGTGTGCAAAATAATGTTTGTGATGGATGAAGATACTCTAATTTGGATTTGTGAAACATCTTTTAAGCTAGAAGAAATAACGAAGGCAGAAAAGATATTATTTATATCTGTACCACTTATACAAATGAAGACAAAAAATGAGAACACATGCAGGAAGGATTAAGAGGAAATTTCAAAATCTATTAAAACAGGTGGATGCTTCAAATCCGGAAATACCTGTAACTTTCGACCACGTAGATGTGATACGATTATTGAGTGATATTAGTGTAAAGTAAATTAAAAACTGTGAAAAGTGAATATGTGGGTCACCAACAATTGCAAGAGGCATTAAAACAATGGAAAAATCGTCTCGTCATAAAAATGGTATATGCTGAATCTGAATAGCAGTTAGCACGACAGTGGACCGGTGGGTGTCCTTCTGTGATCGTTCGATTGTAGTATTTAGTATTTATATGACTGATACACAGATTCATTCGATAATTTGAGGGAATTCAATACGTGCTGAAGTGAAATAAATGCTATTATTGAAAATAATGGCGTTGAGCTATGTATAGATATGTTAGGGGATTTCCTATCGACCATTTTGAAAAAGAGAATGGCGGGGAATTAATGTTGGCGCATACATTCTCGCGGCGTAGTAACATCAAAATATTGTTTAAAGCACACTGCCAAACTTTTTACACAAGCGTTGTGTGTACAATATAACAACTGTTTCAGGATATTGATAATCGTGTTTTTGTAGTGCACAAAGCTTTATTAAAATTAAACATTGATTACATATTGATTACACTACATTTTGTATACTTAAGTAACAACTTATTTGTGTATTACTACTAAATATATTAATATAATAAATATACACTAACATTAAAACTAGCTGCCTGCCAAGAGCTTATGTACATATATCCTTAATGTACATATAGGTATATATTTACAATATTAAAAGATGGAGGACGGTATACATGTTATAGTAGTCATTATATTAATTTTTTAGATCTGTATAGTTCAGATCTTAATAAATCATAAGTTTGACACTGGTTATTAGAAAGTGAAAACTCTCAATATTGTGGTGACTCGATCGGCATGTTTTTGAAAACTATTACGAGTTACGTATGAAAATATGCCATTCGCACCGATACAACAGAAGTAGCGATACGTTTAACGGGTGTTATTAGAAGTAATGTTCCTCGTGATGTTAAGAAAAATTGTCATTGGGAGGCGAGTAATCATTTATAATGTCGTTAGTTATCCTTATCCAACTTTTATTTAAGCTCTTATACTTAATGGGATTGGTCTGACGACTGATTTAATTTGTTACTCTAGTAATAATTACTTTTGTCAGTCTATTGCCACTAATGTATTTGAAACATACATATAAATAAAATTGGAGTGTCCGTTTGTAATATTGAAATAACCCATTTTTACTACATGCATGTGAATATACTAATCATTTTTTGAATGGCCTAATATTGAAGCTAGATAATTTTTACGGGACTTTTTTTAATTTTATTCATATTTCTAAATCCAGGCAAAAGGAAACATGAAATCAAGTACAAAGGGTTACTGGGAGAAGCATTGATAATAACCATCCTAAGCGGAGTAGTCAGAAATTATCATTGCCGATGGACCTTTGTAATATTAAATTAAAAGCCTGGAATAATCTAATTTCCATTTTTGGAGATTGTGCTGACAATCATTTTTATTGTTTTATATATACGTTTCATTAAAATAATACTGACTGCATGGGCGTGAACTTGACAATTTTTGTATACTGAAATCTTATTCATTATAAAATCCAAATTTAAGCCAAAGAACCCTATGAACCATTATTCCAATTCCATCAAGTTTATTCCTCAAGTAAAACCTGAAGTGGACAGCAGATCCGAAGTACCAAAGCAAACGCAACAATGGAGAAAACAGGGAATATACGACGAGTCTATGTGTAGCCTATATCTTTCCTTCTTCCTTTGTAATATATATATATATATATATATAATCTTTTAAGCTAGAAGAAATGATATTATTTATATCTGTACCATATATATATATATATATATATTAAAACAGGAAATACCTGTAACTTTGGTAGATGTGATACGATTATTGAGTGCTGACGTCAATCTGTGGAAAAAAATCGTCTCGTCATAAAAATAAGAGGAGGGTATATGCTGAATCTGTATATTAGCACGACATGACCGGTGGGTGTCCTTCTGTGATCGTTCGATTGTAGTATTTAGTTTTTATGTATAGGAAACAGATTACATTCGATAATTTGGAATTCAATGTCAAATATTATTGAAAATAAAATGATATGTTAATTCAACTACGCAGATGATATGGGTGATTACTAATTGGGTTTCTGGCGACAGTGGAGGACGGTATCAATCAGAGTATTTATTTGATCTAAAATAACCTGGTTGGATACAGTGTATGAACCTTGTGTATAATTAGAAGATATAGTAACAAAATATATAGAGTACCTGACCTTTGTCTTTATAGTCCCTAAATAATACTGTGCATGGGGTACTTGACATGTTGTATACTGAAATATTACAATTATTATACTACAAAGAAGTGCAACTGGAATATGCATGTTACTCTCTTAATGTCTAGCCAGAGCAATATCATAAGTTATTATTTTAAGTTAGATACTTATGGACCATTTGGATGTCCTCAAATGAATAATCTCAACTACCAGATGTATTGGCACGGTCTTGTGAATACTAAATATATTGTTGGACAAAGAACATAACTTTTTTATGACTACACAAGCCCCCTGTGTGTACAATATAACAACTGTTTCAGGATATTGATGGGGTATCGTGTTTCTGTAGTGCATCTGACATGTTCGCTCTTGCACGACTTTTATGCCATGATCACAAAAAAAATTGCAGCTTTATTAAAATTAAACATTGATTAAAAAAAATTACCTATTAAGATTACACTACATTTTGTTTATACTTGTTAGTATAAAGTAAGTAACAACTTATACTGTTAGTGTATTACTACTAAATATATTAATATAATAAATATAAGAATTTCACTAACATTAAAACTAGCTGCACTCGCGACTTCGCGTGAAATATCATTTTATTTTTCTAAAATAAAAGTAGCCTAAGTTACTCCTTATGTACATATCCTTAATGTACATATACCTACTTCTAATATTTACATGGGTATATATTTATCAATATTAAAAGATAATACGTGTTATAGTAGTCATTATATTTTAATTTTTTAGGATCTGTATAAGAAGTTCAGAGGAATACTTAATAAATTGACCCCTTCTAAGTTTGACACTTTATTAGAGAAAGTGAAAACTCTCAATATTGATACACAAACACGTCTTGACCTTGTTTTTGAAAAGGCTATAGATGAACCTAATTTCTCGGAAGCCTATGCAGCAATGTGTAACAAACTCTCAATGCTCAAGGTAATTAGATTTATTAGATTTACTATTTACATATATATTTCATATGTCATCTTTACTCAATGTAAATTTACAGGTACCTGCAGATAAAGCAAGTGCTCCTAACCAATATGTAAATTTTAGAGCACTTATTACCAGCAAATGTCAGAATCAATTTGTAACTAAGAAAGTAGATGAGCAAGTTCTGAAATTAGAGAAAGAAAAAGTAATAAGTGAATGTAATGATCCTGTAAGTAGAGTCAATTCTATTCAAACATGTTATACTTTAAATATAAATTGGATAATTTAAGAACTTGGATTAAATAAAATAGTATGGTATTGTTTATATTAAAATTATTCTTTTTATTTAGAACAAAAAGAAGGAACTGCAATTGATGCTTGAGGAAGAAAATAGGCGAGCCAGGATGCGTTCAGTTGGGAATGTCAGATTCATTGGTAAGTTTTTGTTAACAAAATTACAATTAACTCATTTGACATACTTGAGGTTTTTAATCTTTTTTATTATTAAGACAAGAGCACGCACTGTTAACAGTACTACTACCTAGACTATCATATATTACGTATTTAGAATACAAGCAATAACCATTCAAATTCATGTTTTAGTTTTTTAAGTACTTGCTTTTCCACTAAAAAATAATAAAGCTACATTTCTGTGCTGAATTATATTTACCTAATGAAAAGTAAGTACCACAACAAGCATTTATAAATATTTGATAAATTTAAAATTTGGTTCAGCCAGTTACTGATAAAAGCCGACTTGCGAAAGGCAATAGCAATTGCGAATGTATGTCATATATATATATATATATAACATACATGTTTTGTTCCATATATATATATATATAGTTAATTCTTCTTTACCTAAATGTTTTCTATTTTGTTTATACGATTGGTTATTGAAGATATTTTTTTATTTCAGGTGAATTATATAAATTAAAAATGCTTACATCTAAAATAATGGTATACTGTATGAACCATTTGATAGAAGATGTATTAGAGGAAGAAAACCTTGAATGTTTATGCATACTGCTTACTACAATTAGGGAACAAGTCGAGAGTGAAGCAAAAACCCAATTGGATTCTGTATTTGAGAAAATGCAGAACATAATTTATGACCGTAAAAGCAACAAAATTAGTAGTCGTGTTAGATTCATGATTCAGGATGTAATTGAATTAAGGAAACGAAGATGGGTTGTTAAGAGTGTAGTAGATTCACAGCAGCAACGTCAAATTGAGGTACAGTCACGTTAGAAATTTATTACAGTGCGTTTTGCAAAATATTTGTTTTTGTGTGAATATTGGGCACTTCGTCATTATTCATTGTAATCATTAAAGTATCTGTATTTAATATATGAATATGGAACGGTGCACTGGCTGACTGATGATGGCAAGGATACTAAGGCAATGATAGGATGAACATTAGTCAGGTCAGTTAGCACATAACGGCCAATACACAAGGAATTAAATGCAAGGGACACCTGTGTGATCGCACGCATGTGACATGACATGGCTACATACATTGCTAGCAATGGGTCTCTTACTCTTCTTTACAAAAGACAAACAACGATGTAAATGTGTGTCTATTTATAATATAAGAAATACTAATGACCAAACCTCCAACCTCCTAAAATTGTCTAGTTTTAATTTACAAAACAAATTACTATAGAATTTGCTCTTGATTTTATCACCAAAACTATTTTTTTTCTGAACAGCCGAAGTATTAACAGATATAGTAAAAGTTACCTCGCGGGTAGAGTATGATTACCAGGAGAATCATCGTCTCTTTATGTCTGATTAGTTATCGGGTTTCAGTAACCTATGCCTTTTAAGCCCATATATGTATGTTGGGGACTATTAGTTGGTTGGCCATCACATTATGATGATTTACTAACTGTATCTATTTGAAGCAGCAGTGTTTTATCTTTGCGGCCACTGTGTATGAAGTGAGATACTTATGAACCTTCAATGTTCTTGCAAACACAAATGTGCATTTATAATCTGTTTCTTAATATTGTCTTCAGCCCTTAGTATTATGCTTGTTGGATTGGAGTTTTCAACAGAACCCCATAACTGAATGCTGTAGGTCCAGATTGGTTTCTATATAGAGTTGAAGAGAACTTTGTTGTCAAGGGATAATTTTCCTTTTCTGCCTAGCAACCAATACATCCTCTTGTATTTTATATTTGGTCTCTTTCTGAATGTGCTTTCTTCAAGTCGGCCGATGATCCAGTTGCATTACAAGATACTTCACTGTATCACTTTAGGGGAGAGTTTTCCTATCTAGGGTAACTGTGGGGCAGTTTCCTGGTCGCATACTGAATATCACATAAAGTGACTTGAATGTGCTGGCAACTATATTATATTTTTTGAGCCACTGGTTCATGAGAATATGGTCATTTTGTAAAGCTCGTGAGGCTTAGTCGGGGAACGTATTGCAAGTTAGAACTGAAGTGTCATTAACCTATCGAGCTATGGTTAGACCTTCACATTGTGGTAAGTCTAATGTGTAAATGGTATACAACACTGGTCAAACCTAAATTGATAAGTCGAATATTAAAATTGAGTGTGATACACAAACTTAAAATGAATGGGATATCATTGATTTGTTACATGAAATAATGCGACATTAAATCATTGTAACATACGGATGAACAAAGTTGCACCATATGGGTTCTATTTTGCACTAGTACACATTAGAAGCTACAGACACTGCGGCTTACATAATCCTGGAGCTGGAGGACGCTGCGTGAAGCATATGGAATTTGAATACTGTACAATGTTCTGTTTTACCTTTTCGGTCTGGTATTCTGGTACCAAAGAATTGCCCTGATTATTTTTCTAAAAATATATATTTTTCATGTCTTATTTGTTTATTGTATTTGCAGTTATTTAACGCCAATCCTATGGGTGGTTTCCGAAATCGTAATGAAGGTGGACGTGGCAAACGTGGTGAAGGCAGAAGACAGAACTCTAATTCCTTCCAAATGGACAATAGCAATAATTGGATACTTACCAAACGTTATACAATAGATACTTCCAAGTCAAAAGCTGTTAATTTAACAATTAATAAAGTAAGTTCTTTTGTTTGTTTACACACACCGTTACTGCAATTTTTAACGTCTTTGTAAGCTATACACATACTTGAATCGGTAAGCCACCTCTTTCACAAAGATTAACATTGTGAAGGTGGACTTTATTAACATGGATTAAAATTAGACACGTTCCTTGGTATGGTATATTGCTATATTCCTAATATCGTAGAATCAAAAGGCACTGTAAAAACAATTGCTATCAAAAATAAGAATAGAATGTCAAAATTAAAAATACAATAAAAATACTACTTATTATATTTGTTAATATTTAAAATTTGAATTCTTTATAAAGAATTAAAATTAAATAAAGAACTGTATACCAATTATGCAATATTGTATGAAATCGTTTCTACTTGTGTAGTCAATTGAAGTTATGACGCAATACCAAATAATTTCAATTAATAAAATGCGATAATGTAGGATCTAATGAAAGTAACAAAATTATTTATGTTACATTCATTCCAAATATTGTTAATCCAACCAATTTAAAAAGTGAGTACAATACCGTAGATACGGAACATTATTTATTATGGTCCTAGTTAGATTATATATTTATAAGGGTACCTTTATTGGTTTGATATACTTGTGAATTTTTAATGCCTTCAAACAATTATAATATTAATTGCGTTGTTCGTCGTTTCAATGCCATGCTGTCATTTCGGCAAAATTGCGATAACGTGACATTGTAACGAGGTTACTTAATCGACATACGATAGAAATATTTTTTATCTATAGGTAAAGTTACGTTTACGTCGCTATGCTATTTGATATCGTCAATAAAATGGGATTACTGACAGATGGCGTCATTTTCACTGCGCCACATAACGAAAATCGTTGCGGTGTATGTTATATAAATAGCATATATACTGAACATAAGTTTCATTCTCAACAATTGTTCTTGATTGTTACGGTATATAGCATTAAGGAGCCTCTTTTTACATGCTGTGCTAAGTTCAATTTGGACTAATTGACACTAGTAAAAAGGCGTTGGGTATTCAGATTTATCAATACGGTATTATAATAGTCATTATTAGAATTAACTGTAATCTATATATCGACAAATAAACGACAAAAAGGAGAGTCCTATAAACATTTTCGTGAATTGTAATTAATGCTTTTAATGTTATAGTGCAAGAACATCTTTCTTTTTATATTGTTTCAATTTGTTAAATAATTATTGTAGATGTCAGACCAGACATGATAAACATATACTAACTGTGTTATACAGTGGTAATCATTATTATGACTGTAATTGGAATATACAATACAGGCTGCTGTTTTACATCTATGTGATATTATATTTCAGAATTTAAGTACTGTTAAATTGGCTCCTCCTGCATGGAGCCCTGCATTCAGTACTAAAACTGCAGCACAAATTAGTAGTAACAGCATGGTTGGTCTTACTAACAACAAGTATAGTGTTTTAGAAATGCAGCCAAACGATTCTAGTCCCATCAAAGGTAAGTTATTTTTTGTACTATCCATAATGACACTTTGTCATTCTTCAAATAACAAGAAAGCAAAATAAATACATTTTTTTATATTCGTTTAGATCAAGAATGTATTCATAGTGGCTATATGCTCATTTAATTCGAAAGAAACTAGGTTTAGCCCATTAAAATAATCAATGCAGTAGAATTATCCCTAGTCTTAAAGAATTTGGGTTTGTATACTAAATAAAAAAATTCATGGCTTCAAATTCTCTTTATAATATATATGTTTTTGTAGTCGACTTTCTGATTGACGTCGGCCCTTTTTGTACATTTATGGCGATTAAATTGCTTCAATATTCTAGGGTAGGCATAAAGTAACTAGGTTTGTTATAAACTGGAAGTGAATAATTATGTTGGTGAATATAAAAGGAGGTTATTGCAATTATGGGAGGGATGTGGCTATTAATTGTAATAACTCCGGAAAATGTGGTTGGTTAACCATGACTTAATACTTTATATTAAACAATACATGAAATCTAGTCAGTCAGTTGTGATTCTTGAATGTATGTTTTCAAAATTATATCACAATATTTTCATTCAAAGTGACTACATTATAATTTTTTTAGGAAGCAAAGATACATCCCCAACCTATCAGGCAAAAGGTGCTTCCATTGAGAGGTCGACATTTACTAGAAGTGATTTCAGTAAGTAATTAATTAATTATCCTTATATTAGTCATTACAAAATACGTGTTAGGCTCTATTTGAAATACGTCAGTGTTATTATAATTAATAGCATCCTGAATGGTGTGCACCATTCCATACAACTAGTGCTTTACAGAATATATACAGTAGGAGTAGGTGTATTCTGTATGCATAGTGTGTACGTGTCATGTCTTTAATATCACTACCCCATCTGAGTATATCAACAAGAACACGGACGGCAGGGCTCTCGGTGGCTACTTAGTCACTAATCATAGTCGCTAAATGTACCTGATAGAGACTCCATATTCTTTCGGTCAGAGATAAATCATGAGGTGACACTTCCTAGTCGATATCATAATATGTGTATATAGTATAGTAGGAAATCTACTAGTAAACATCTTAGTTTGTTTTATCGACTGGGTTTCTTAAGGACTAAGATGTAATTTAATAATAATTTTGTATGAAGAGAAACTAAGGTCGTTATGAACATTAGTCTTAATTTAAAATGTTAATTGTGAAGAATCAGTTTTTTTTACTGTTTTATCAATAATTATATCATAGTTCGGTATTACGTCCATCTATTATTGAAAACCGCACATAATTCAGAGCTGAATGCTTGCTAACTACCTATCTATTTACATAAAAGTAAGGAGTCCTAGTCATATATTTTGCGATATTCCAAAATAATATTTGTAACTGTTGTATTATTTAATAGTTATTGATATTAATAAATATTTTTTTGTGAATCCCTGGTTTAGACTAAATATCTCTCACCAATGGAGCCTATAATGAAATATTATCATAGATGCATAACTAAATTTGAAACGTAATTGTTTGAAAATCATTAATTCCTTATCAGAATTGCTCTTACTTATAACTAAGACAAGGAAATGAGATTTAATAATTTTTTATTATGAAGTAACTAACTACTCGGCCCGCCTTCGCCCGGTTATATAATATTATCTATTAAAAAAAACCGTGTCAAAATCCGTTGCGTAGTTTTAAATATTTAAGCATACATAGGAACAGACAGCGACAGCAACTTTTATTTTATACTATGTAATGATGTATAATTGTTTTCCCGGAAATAAAGGATTTTATATATATCTGTACAACCATTATCACTGGCGAATTGGTTTGTTATATTATACTTAAGTTTTAGTTAGTTAGTTAAACTTGATTTGATAACTTTAATGGATTCTTACGACATCATTCAAATAGAATAGTCATGATACTATTAGAATTTAATTTTTTTTTTAGGCAGCGGCAGCGGCAGCCGTCCAGGTTTAGTGGGTACAGCTCGATCCAGCTCGGGTAGTCGCAGCGTAAGCGCTGCACCTCCTACCCCACCAGTCATTGCTGAGATTCCAGGCCCTGTTACAGCAGCTGTTCCACAGGATCCACTGCCAGAAAACAAGAAGAAGTCTGTTCATGCAATGATTAACCTCGCTCTTTTGAACCCTGTTGACGATGAGTTGATACATGAAATACAAAGATTTGATACAAGAAATCATGCTGCAGTTGTTACGGAAATACTCAACATGGCACTGGAGAAGTAAGCTAGTTCATATCACATTAATTTTTGATCCCAGTATCAAAACTACAACATATGTTTCTTGGGAAATGAATAAATTTTCTTTACAAAAGAATATTTGATTGTATTATAGTTTCTTAATTCTTATATATAAAATCTAATATTTAGTGTATTTGATAATTAAAAGTATGTATATTTCAGATCCCAGAAAGAAATAAACACTATAGCGAAGTTACTCTTACATTTGGTTTCAACAAATACTATCTTACCAGTTCATTTTGAATTGGGCATAACAGAAACTTTAGAATTTGCGCCTGATTTGTATATTGATATACCCATGTTATATGAATATTTAGGAGTGATCATTGCGCCGCATATTGAAAAGAGGGTATGTAAATATTTAATCATACACAAAATAAAACCAGGTTTGCCAGTGAAATATTAAAAAAAAAACACTTTGCCCTTTCTTTTAATTTTCATATTCAGATATAGCTTTAGCTATTCCTGAATCGATTTGAGTGTAATATTCAGTGCTTCATTCACACATTATGCTGTTCCAATAGAACTTAACCTTTTATGGTAAAAGGTATACCTATGACATTATAGTAATTCGTATTGAATATGTGAATTATTTTATTACTTTTAGTATTATAATTAAATTACTTTAAATAAGGCTCCAATAGTGTAATGTATAAAATTCTTTTGTTTCAAGACCCGAGAAGAGAATAATGATGGTAGGATAATTTAAAAAAGTCCTATTTTGTAACCCAATTGTTTTTTAAAATCTGACGTTTTAGAAATTCATATGTAATTGTCACGGGAATGGATTTTCTTACAGCACATCACACTACTTCAAGTGTTTAGGCTTTCTGAAAATATTAAATCTGCGAAACAAGGACATTTACTACTAAAAGCAATAATAAGAGAGTTAAGAGATAGCATGGGACCTACTTTTGCAAAAAGTAAATGGCTGGAATCCAATCTTCAGTTTAATCAATGGATGCATGATGACCAGGTATGGCATAACTAAATAATTTCATAGTTACTCCAGTATTGATTGAAAGTTATATGATATGATCTAAAATATGCTAATAATTGTAACATTTTTAGGTAACGTCAAGAATCTCTTTCTTCTTATTTATCACATTATAATGTATTGACTTTTACATCGTCCTAATTTTGTATCACGTAGGTATATGTAAAAAAGGTAGTACCACTATATTAGTATTATGAATTAACAGTATGTTTAATTATTTATATTGTTTTAATTTGTTCAATAATTATTATAGGAGATATCAACTCGGGCCATATATAAAATAAATAACACAATAGTAATAATCATTATTACTGCAAGTTAAGCTTTGATAATTGGAAAATATAATACAGTTGTCTGCCTTACATCTATGTGATATTATGTTTCAGAAATTAAGTACTGTTAAATTGGCTCCTCCTGCATGGAGCCCTGCAAACAGTGCTAAAACTGCAGCACAAATTAGTAGTAACAGCGTGGTTGGTCTTACTAACAACAAGTATAGTGTTTTAGAAATGCAGCCAAATGGTTCTAGTCGCATTAAAGGTAGGATAATTTTTATATATTATTATATTTTTTATTATATCCATAATCATACTAATATTATAAAGAGGAAAAGTTTGTTTGTATTGAATAGGCCCCTAAACTACTGGACCGATTTGATAAATTATTTCATCATTAGGAAGCTACACTATCCCTGAGTGTCATAGGCTATATTATATTTCCAAAAAATATAATATAGCCTATGACATATCTATGGTCTTTATCAAAATAAATATTCATATTATCGACTGCTTCAATACCTGTATATAACTTTTTGAATTATTCAATTCGGACATTCCATTCGAAAGATATCACGTATTTAACAATGTAAGTATTAAAAAAAACCTACTCCTCTGTTAGCAATAAACCAAATGTGATGTAGGGACGTCACTGGTGTTGAGAAACTCTTTTGATATTAATATATTTAAAGGTTTTTTCTATTCTATAATCAAAAATATAAAAACAAAATTATATTATGTCACTTCACTATCTACCATCTTACCATTAAATACATTTTTTCAGTCATAAATAGTTTTACTACATATTTCTACAACATACGTTATCAGCACGAAGAATAAATAAATTTTAAAGACGATTTAGCTTACGTATAATGGCTGGGATGAATTTTTGTGATATTAAAATATTAGTAGTGAAGATTATACGGCATGGACGTTCAAAATGAAGATGCTGTTGGAACACGAAGAGCTGTGAAATGTAGTAGATGGTTATGAATCCAGTGATGATACACCTATGCATGTGCGGAAACGTAAGAAGGCATTTTCAAAAGTTTGTCTTTGTGTGGATGGTGCCGCAATGACGCATGTGAGGACAGCAACGTCAGCAAAAGATGCCTGGTATGCCTTTGAATAAGGCATATGAAGATCTGAGTCTAGGTCGAAAATTGGTAATGGAGAGACGGCTGTATCAATCAAAGGCTGTTAAGACAATCGTCCCTACCCATATCCTATACATTTCGGTATAACAGCACACCCACCCTTTTACATCTTATCTCTCTCTCGTCTCAAACTCTGATAAAGTCTGTAATTTTGGATACTTACGGCTCCTTTCTTACTATGACCTTACGATTAAATATAAATTTAATCGAACATATCTCACCACATCTCTGAAAATTAAACTTATATTTCTTGGCCTTCGTAATTAAGGGAATTGAGTTGTAAATGCTAAATAATGACGTTGAATGGCCCTGTGTGTTAAATTGTAACTCGATGGATGATATCATTGAAAACTTTAATTCACTCAAACTTCAACTGTACAACAAACAGGCTCCTATCAGAAAAGTTAATGTCAAACATCTGCCTGCTCTGTGGTCATCTCAAAATATTAGGTATATGATGCCAAAGTGGGATAAGGCTAAACGGTTATACAAGCGTTTTTCATCTGAGAAGAACTTACTATGCTATAAAAAACTGCGGAATCAGTGTAATCGGGTATGTAGGGCTACAAAGACATCAGATTCATGAATCCATTCATAGTAATTCAGTTCATATTTGGAAAATTTTAAGTCACTTGCTATTTATTGGCAAATTTTCTTCTTCAACTTGTCGTTCTAATGTGGACTATAATGCGCTTAACAAGCATTTCTCTTCGCCTCCTGTCACCGTTGATAACAGTATTCTTCCAAGGGTTGAAGCATTGTTAACTCTTGATAGACTTCACCGCCAATTAGCCAGCAATATGTTTATACCGCCGGAAAAACTACTGACGCAGGTGTAGCGCTTATTACACATATATTCGAATCATGGGAGAAGTCACAGGAAGCACTCGGGGTTTTTTGTGACCTAAGACGTTTGATTGCGTAGATCATAAAACACTTTTGTGCAAGCTCGAACTCTATGATATTAGTTTTAGATTAAAGTTTGAGGAAATTAATATTAAAACGAACATTCCTTAGGATTCAATCTTAGGTAATAAAAATAAGCTAATGTTACGTAAATATCGTCTACACAAAGTCAGTATTTCATTCTATGGTAACTGCGTAAGATTTTATAATAAACTGCCAGAAGCAGCACAAATTTTGTGTAAAAAAAGTTTATTATAAGATAGACTAGCTGCACACGCGATTTCGACCGTGTGGAATTAAACTTTATTTTTCTAAAATAAAAGTAGCCTAAGTTACTCCATCATTATTACATCAGCTACCTGCCAATAAAAGTCCGGTCAAAATCGGTCCAGCCATTTCAGAGATTAGTAGACAGACAGGTAAAAGTTGGTTATTGCAGGATTACAAACAGACACTCCAATTTTGTTTATATGTGTGTATAGATGTATGTGTATATGTAGAGTATGCATTTAAAAAACGAAATATCCAACTTAAAAATATTTATTTTAGGAAAATACAACTATTTATGTTACTTACTAAATAAAATCATGACATAGTATAAAACAAAGTCGCTGTCGCTGTCTGTCCGTCCCTATGTATGCTTAAATCTTTAAAACTACGTACCGGATTTTGAAGAGGTTTTTTTAATAATGGCCAAGCGGTCGCATGCGCGTGAGTTGCGCGCGATATTGTACAGTACTCGGAAATTGCAAATAGACTTAATTTTCTAAAATAATTTTTTTTTTCTAAAATAAAAGTAGCCTAAGTTACTCCTTATTACATTATCCACCTGCCAAAAAAAGCCCCGTTAAAATGGGTCCAGCCAGTTTCAGAGATTAGCCGGAACAAACGGACCGACAGACCGACAGACAAAAATTGTAAAAGTGGTTTTTTGGTGTATGTAACTTATTGTTCGCGCCACCTATTGACGACTGGGCGCAAATAAAGTTAACGGCGTGATGTTGGCAACAAACGGCTTCACTTCGACACAATTCAAATAAACGCAACATCATAGTTTGTACCATTGTAACAAAATTATAAAATATAAAAATAATAAACGATACCGAGAGGAAAGGAAGGGGCATTTCAATCATTTGGACCTTCTTCGCCGGAATAATACTTCAAGATATCAAGAAATAATAAAATCGACTACAATAATTCTTCAAGATACCACGGAAGTCGATCGCCGGTGTGTATCAAGAAGACGATATCGAGAAGAAGAATCAGCTCAGATTATACGGTCAGGCCTATTCGTTCCATTCCTCTCCTACACGACTATTCTATTTGTGTTAATACTGTGTTATTTGTGTGAAATTCCAGTTGCAAAAGCGGTCACAGTGCTATTACCGAGTCAGGGTTCAAAGGTCGGGGTGATCTTAAACGATTGTAAGTACGCTTTATTTTCCATTTACTTTCCGAAATGAGTGATAAAGATAAAGGTGATACTTTAAAAATGCGTGTTTCGTCTGAAATTCAGGGTGGTAGTAGATCGCCATCCAAAAAAAGTAACGGTAATTTTGAATTTAAAACTGCTAGTATTTCGAACCTTAACAAACAAAGAGGTATTTTAAAGGCTAGATTAACATCATTTGAAAAATATATATCCAAATTCGATAATATTCCTTTAGATAAAACTCTTAAAATAGAATTAAACTTAAGGATTTCCACATTAGAATCGGTGTACAAAGATTTTGATGACATTCAAAGTAAAATCGAACAATTAACAGATGATGATGATCTTTCTAATCAAATAACATATCGTGAGAATTTTGATGAAATGTATTATGGATGCATTGCGGTAGCTAAGTCTTTAGTTGTTGATGATAGTCATAGTTGTGATTCTCATTTACATCGTAACCGAGAAGGCTCCCAAATAAAATTACCCGACCTAAAATTAGTATCCTTTGAAGGATTTTATGATCAGTGGCTAGAATTCAAAAATTCCTACTGTACTATGATTCATAAACGTACTGATTTGGATCCTATACAAAAATTACATGCGGTCGTCACTCAGCGGTAGTGCATTGCAGGTGATCAGTGCATTAGAATTCACAGCTGAAAATTACACACATGCGTGGGAATTGCTTCTTAATCGATTTCAAAATGATCGACTTTTAGTACACAACCATGTTAAGTCTTTATTTTGTATGCCATCTATTAATAAAGAGTCGCCTTCGCAAATCAGAAAATTAATAGATTGCATATTACGTAATTTACGCGCTTTAAAGACGTTAGATGAGCCGACCGAATCATGGGATACACTTATAATGTACTTAATAGTATCAAAACTAGATCCTTGTACCGAACGCGAGTGGGAGAATTACAAAGGTTCTCTTATTTCTAATATACGTAATGATGACTGCAATAAACGTAAATTAAAACTGGATGATTTGTTAACTTTTCTTAAAAACCGTGCAGATCTATTAGAAATGATAAACGTAAATAATTCGAATAAAAATACTAATGTCACTAAATTAAATAATAAATATGTTCACGACAGTAAAATTCAAAGGTTACAAACACACACACATAGTTATTTAGCTAATAAAAGTAAGCCTATTAAACGTATACGATCTTGTATTTTGTGCAATTCAAATCATGCATTGTACTTATGTAGTATGTTTTTAAATCTACCTGTCAAAGATCGCATTAAATTAGTAAACGATAACAATCTTTGTTGTAATTGCTTGCGTGCTGGACACTCGAGCAATGTAAACGCAAACATAATAGTTTGTTGCACACCGATGTGCACTCTAACGGCGAATCGTTGCCGAGTAATAATGAGCTCTCCGCAGTAAATAATACGCACCATACAACATCTACTGTGTTGCATTCATCGCTACCTATAGATATACATAGCAGCGATAACAACTTCACGAGTACGTCACGGGCTCACCTGACCGCGCGACCGGTTTTGCTATCTACTGCACAAGTCGAAGTACTCGATAGTAATAACCACAGGTAATAACAGACTACACACGGTTCGCGCTCTCTTAGACAACGGCAGTCAACATTGTTTTATGTCCGAAGCGTTATGTAAACGATTAAATTATACGAATTTTATACAGTCCACTATTCAAATATTAGGTGTAGGACAATCGGTCTCACACTCTAATAAATTATGCGATTTAACTATACGATCTAAATTAAACGATTATTATACGAATATTAAATGTTATGTTTTACCTTGCATCACTTCAAACTTGCCGTCTGTGAGTATCGACGTTGGTTGCATATCGATTCCGAACAATATTCAACTGGCCGATCCGACTTATAATACACCCTCCGAAATCGATTTATTAATAGGCGCGGAGATATTTTGGGAATTATTAATCGATAATAAAATAAAATTAAAATGCGGTCCTTATTTACAAAATTCGCAATTAGGATGGTTGATATCCGGTCCTATTAATTATAATAATCCGCATTATAACAATAATGTTTTGTGTAATTTTATACAAACTTTAAACGATACAAAATTTAAAAAATTGGGAGGTAGAAGAAACTCCTCACGTCGGAATATTCTTACTTCTGACGACCGTAAATGCGAAAAAATATTTACCAGCACGACAAAACGTGAATGTGATAGTAGATTTTCAGTTCATAGACCGTTAAAGAAATCAGCTGATTTATTAGGTGACTCATATACGGCAGCTTATAAACGTTCTATTCCTTTAGAACGTAGATTAAAGCGTATGACACTTTATAAACGTATGTGCCCTTGCAGTGACTTCAGGCGGGTATATCGCGAGTCAGGTCACATGTCTCAAATAAAAAGGTACAGTTGGCCATATTATTTCCTTCCACATCAAGGGGTATTCCGTGAGGATAGTACCACAACTAAATTATGAGATATGTTTGATGCTGGTTTTTAGGCAATATCAGTTCGTAGCGTTCGTATTTCTTTCGATAAACATTAATTAATTCTGATTCATGTAATATATAATTCAGTAGTTTCAGTTAAATTATTTTGTGTAAAAGGCAAAGTACCCCCTTTAAATTAATTAAATAAATAATTTAATACTTTAATAGGTGTACGATTATATAAAAATAATTAATTCGATTAGGTTAAAATTTATTGCAATTACTTTAGACAGACTCGACTAGAGACACATCGTGATGGGTTAGTTACGTATGTCTCCACATTTATTAAAAACCTTTATACAGAACCGAGTATTATAATAAATAAACGAATTAATAGGTGATTTATTGTGGTTACATATAGACGGTAATAATAATCCAGCGGACCTAGTGTCGAGCGGTCTTTATATAAACGCGCTTAGGGACAATCGTATATGTTGGGACGGTTCGACATTTTTTACATTGTAATAAATAATTAAACAAACAAAATTTAGGTATTTCAAATGCTTTACCTGAATTGAGAAATAAAATGATAAATATAGTTTGCGTAAATTCGAAAGAAAATATATAATTTTTAATAGGTTTTCGACATGTAATAAATTAAAGCGAACGGGAACGTATGCACTTAGGTTCATTCATAATATTCGTACTAAACAACAATGTAAACCCGGTTCTCTCACAGCTGATAAACTGATGTCGTCAGTACAGGTGTTATCGCAGATTGCACAGATGCATTCATTCTCATCTTTATATAATAGTTTAGTTAATGCGATTTCTATAAAAAAAGTGTAATGAAACAAATAAGGTTTAGGTTAAACGTATTTGTAGATAGTAATAAATTAATTAATATTGGCGAGAGACTTAATCATTTTAATTTTAACTATAATAAAATTTATAAAATATTGTTGTGTAGTAAAAGTAGATACACAATTTATTATTCGAACAGAAACATAAGTCAGTAAGTAACTGGACCAGTTTTCATATTAAGTCTTAGGGGTGCTAAATTAATTAAAGGTCATATTTGCATATTTACATGTCTGGCTACGCGATGCATTCATTTAGAATTAAAATTAATTCATTTAAATAAACGATTATATTTTAGCATTTAAACGTTTTATTGGAAAGCCAGCGGAAATATTTTCCGATAACGGGAAAAATTTTGTGGGTGCTGAGAGAGAATTTTCTTCAATCTTACAAAACGGATTAAATACGATAAATGATTTCTTGGCTAATGATAGTATAAAGTTCACCTTCATCCCTCCATATGCACCTCATTTCGGGGGTTGTTGGGAAATTTGCGTCAAATTGTGTAATAATCATCTTAGACGAATAGTAGGCAATGCTAATTTAAATTATGAGGAGTTCAGCACGGTATTGACACAAATAGAGGCCGTCCTGAACTCCCGCCCCTCTCAGCCATGTTCACAGATCCCGCCGATTATTCACCTTTAACTCCTGCTCATTTCCTCATCGGCTGACCTCTGACCGCTCCTGCTTGCCACGACTTCACCAACACGCAGAGCAGTCAACTCATTCGATACAACCGGGTGGAACAGATGAGACAACATTTCTGGAGAAGGTGGTCGACGGAGTATGTGACACAGCTACAGAACAGAATCAAATGGAAAGAAAATAAAGGCGATATAAAATTGGGAACTCTTATCTTAGTGAAGGAAGATAATCAACCCCCTCTTAAATGGCGTTTGGGAAGGATTATACGAGTTTATCCAGGTAAAGACGGAATCTCACGAGTTGCTGACATTCGCTCGGCGACTGGCCAAATACAGCGTGCATTTACAAAAATTTGCCCGCTGCCACTATCTACTGATTAAAATAAATCATCAGCTCCTACAACATCGTCTACAACCTATACGACAAATTCTGATAATTGATATATATTTCAATAATGAATTGAAAGCAGCGGCTTCCAAGGCGGGCGGTATGTTCGCGCCATCTATTGACGACTGGGCGCAAATAAAGTTAACGGCGTGATGTTGGCAACAAACGGCTTCACTTCGACACAATTCAAATAAACGTAACATCATAGTTTGTACCATTGTAACAAAATTATAAAATATAAAAATAATAAACGATACCGAGAGGAAAGGAAGGGTCATTTCAATCACTTATTTATATTCATATGCATATTTCAATATTACAAACAGACACTCCAATTTCATGTATATGTGTGTACGTATAGATGAATTCATATATGACAGCAAACCGCATGCAATCATCTTGTATAAAGTGCGAATACTATAAGTACCATATGGTAATTTTTAGTAGTTATGATGTGGTCGAATGTATTGATAAGTCATGCTCACTAAAACGTCTGGACATGTGGCGGCATTCGTCTGGTCATTGGGCTCCCTAAAATATGGTCGAGCGCAGTGACCGCTGGCTCCATATGACGTCGTGAACAAGTGCTAGTTGGAGATTTATATTGGCACGTTACGAATGATTAAATGATTGGAATATAAAGTTACAATGATTATTTAAAAGAGCAATACGCAAGTTTCTTGAGCTTTCCCAATGAGCGGTAGATTAAAAGAATGATAACTATGACTATTCAAAAATGCGTAAAATAAGTTATTTCAATAAATTATTTTTAATCTATTAGGTTTTGGTAGGTAGTTTGGTTAGGAACCATTTTCCTTCAAATCAGTAGCCAGTGTGACGTACAAAAGTGTATCCTTACCATTTTCTCCAAGGCAGTTGGTGATGACAATATTTGGATACAAATGATTCAACAGATAATTAACGAACTCATGCCTATAATTACTGACATAATCAATAATCTTTGGTCACTTGTGCTTTTCCGTCTGCCTAGAAAATGCTCGTGTAATTCCTCTTCCAAAAATCAATAGTCATAACTCTTAAAGAATTTCGTCCCATTTCTATTCTACCTGTATTAACCAAAATATTAGAAAATATTCTACATGAACAATTGAGCAAAAGTCTGGATACATTTACTTACAATTGATTCCGTGCAATCTTGGATATTTAATAACTACTTAACAACTACATCTTCATTTTCTTTTTTAGTCATAATTAAAGCTTTAAAATTGACGATACGTACAACCTTTCGTTTTGTAGTTTTGGCTTGAAAACTAGACAGCCAGATGGAGATCCTTCTGCATTTCTAACATTAGTATGGCTATACTAACCACCTACCAGTACAAATTATTGCTCAGTTACCAATAAATATTTATTCTATTCTATTTCAGGGTCTACAGCAAAAGCTACTATTTCACAGGAAAATATTTACGCAATGATTAACCTCTCCCTTAACAACCCTGTTGATAATCAATTGATACAAAAAGTAAAATGCTATGGTACACGAAAACATGCTGCAGTTGTTACCGAAATACTCAACATGGCACTGGAGAGGTAAGCTAATTCGTATTATATTATTTTTTCATCCCAACATTCAAACAACAATACACATAAGGTAGTTCGGAAAGGAATTTCGTTTCTTTCCGATAGAGGAATATTTAATTTTATTGTAGTTTTTGGTTCTGTTGATGCGATTTTAAATGTGGACAATCAAAAGCAGCATTTTTAGTATATTTTGCGTTTTCATAATGTAATGGCGAAAGCAAGAAAACATTATCCGTTACGCAGTATGAATGAATTACCTATATATGATTTATTAATTGTGAAAAATTACTAGTCCTGTGGCGGCGGTGGGCTAGGTCAATGTGCTCCGTCTAATATAGTTGAGTGCAATGATGGCTTGTTCATCCGGCATACTAGGGTACTGTTTGTGGGGACTGGCCTATTCGGGTTGCGAACACTGATTAAACTATTTGTTTTTGAAAAATTTGCCACAGCATATACTGGTAGACATTCTATTTTCCCAAATCTTAGTTTAAAAATGAATCTGTATTATTGTAAACCTGTAAAACTGTGACGGTTCACCTATACCCATATGTATATTAAAATATTTAGTTCAAAGGTACTAGGTATTTGATTTTAAAACAATTCGTTTTGATACTGTATTTCATTAACTAAACATATAATAAATTACTATAAACTAGATTATATGGGAAACAAAATAATTATATATAGAACAATCATATTATTTAAGGATTAAGATATATTATATAATTTTATGCAAAACAGTACAAAATAAATATTACATAAAATCAATCTTAAGAAGTCAAAATTCGTCACCTCAAAACAATAGCTGTGAATGCGCATAGCAACGTACAATTATTAACACAAATAGGTACATTGGTAAAAATATGTCTATAAATAGACATCAAAAATGTAACAGGACTCTCCGGACAATGCCACCGTTGTCAGAACTACGGGCACTCTGCCCGTAATTGTTTCGCTCGCCCACGGTGCGTCAAGTGCCTAGGCGATCACGCCACCGCAGATTGCGGCCGTAGGCCCAACACCCCCACGCCCCCCAGTTGCACCCTCTGCCTCACAGAGGGTCACACCGCGAATTACCGCGGTTGTTCACGCGCCCCACGTCCCGCCAAAAAGAAGGCCACCCACACCCAGGGCAACCGTGCTCCGGCACGTGCCCCCGCCAAGGCTCAAACACAACCCGAGCCACTCGTACCCGCCCCTCTGCCTGCTAACAATGCCTGGATTAAACCCCCGGCAATAGTAAGCAAGGTAGCACCCAACCCGCCCGCCCAGAAAGCCCCGCCCGCCCAATCGGCCCCGCCCATGCCCATACACAAACCCGTCCCCAAAACACTGCCCGCGGCCCCCAAGGCCAACGGCAGCTCCCTCGCGCAGGACTTCGCAATGGTGGCTCGCTTAGCCAGCACCATCGACCCTAACGAGATTGCCCTTCTGGCCTCCAAGCTCCGCCTGTATAAGGAGTCGCCCCAAAATAGGCTCGCAGCCGTCTGCGAGCACATCGGCGTACTTACCGCCATCCTCAATTTTAACCTGTAATTATGGGTACTCGAGCTCAGAGAGAGACCAGCCTCGGTCCGTCCGACTAGCGTTTTATCACGCGTTCGGATCAAAAAAACAAAAGGAGGAAATCGCCTCCTTTCTCACTGACCACCAAGTCGATATTCTCCTCGTGCAGGAGACCCTACTGAAACGTTCAGTCCGCGATCCTAGAATCGCCAATTACAACTTAGTTAGGAACGACCGCACCGCCTGTAGAGGCGGCGGTACGCTCATATACTATAAACGGTCCCTACATTGTATACCGCTACAAACACCGCCTCTCACTCATATGGAGGCCTCCGTCTGTCTTCTCGGCATGACCGGTCACCGACCGCTCGCCGTGGCATCCGTATATCAGCCTCCCGGCAAACTACTGCTGGAAAGCGACCTACGCGCCCTCCTAGATATCAACAGCGCCACCATTCTGGCTGGCGATTTGAATTGTAAACACACCCGCTGGAACTGCCACGTGTCCACGACAAACGGCCACAAACTAGACAGACTAGCCGACTCGCTCGAAATCGAGATAATCGCCCCGCTCCGCCCTACTCATTATCCCCATAACGTGAACCACCGACCCGACATACTGGACATGGCACTGCTGAGGAACGTAACCCTACGGGTGAGCTCCCCAGAAGTCCATGCCGAGCTTAACTCGGACCATCGACCGGTAACCCTCCTTCTGGGCCCTCCGCCCGACACGCCACTACCAACCAAAACAATAACAGACTGGCAACGACTCGAGAAATCTCTCGAATCGACCGACACACCGATACTAAACCGTATTCCCGACGTCATAGAGTCCACCGAGGACACTCTCATTGCGATCGACTCGCTTACTAACCACCTGCAGTCGGCAGTCAAGGACTGCTCCAGGGAGGTACCGGCGACGGACGACCGTCGCTGGCAGCTCCCTGATGACGTAAGGAGGTTAATAAGCGATAAGAACGCAGCCACTAGAGCGTACGATCGCTACCCCTCCGAACCGAACCGGGTGCGCCTGCGAGCCTTACAGCGTAGCGTTAAGGAGCGCATCGCGCAGATCCGGGACGGCCGGTGGGGCAAGCTCCTAGAAGAGATAACGCCATGCCACACCGCGTACTGGCGCATAGCGAAATCTCTCAAAACCGACCAACAGACAAACGACATGCCCCCGCTAGTCCGACCCGACAACACTATAGCCTTCTTCGACGAAGACAAGGCTGAGTGTCTAGCGTCCAACTTAGAAGCCCAATGCTCCCCCAGCACGCTCCCAGTCGAGGCAGGTCATCTCGAGAAGATAGACACCGAAGTCGAACGCATCGCGTCCACCCCGCCCACCGAATCCCTCTCACCAGTCACGCTTGATGAGGTCAAAACGCTAGTTAAACAACTACCTATCAAAAAATCACCCGGCTCAGACGGCATATCGAATAGATTAGTCAAAAGTCTGCCATCCCAACTTTTGTTATTACTCGTCGCTATTTTTAACGCGGCGCTGTCCAACGCTATATTTCCAGACAGCTGGAAAGAAGCCGTGGTCATTGGCATCCCCAAGCCCGGTAAAAATAAATCCGACCCGTCCAGTTATCGTCCTATCAGCCTCCTCAAGGCTATAGGCAAGCTGTACGAGCGAATCCTCCTCGCCCGCCTAAAGGAGTTTATATACTCCAAAGGCCTGCTCATCAATGAGCAGTTTGGCTTCCGAGCCAAACACTCATGCGTCCATCAAGTGCACCGCATCACGGAGCACATTCACAAAAACACTCTGTACTTCGCCACCAAGTCCCCCAATCGCTACCGTATAAACGGAGCGTTATCCGACCCGCACCCCATACGAGCCGGCGTCCCTCAGGGCGCCGTCCTCTCTCCGATGCTCTACTCGTTGTACACCAACGACATCCCAAAATTCTCCGACTTAAAAGTCGAAATATCGCTGTTTGCCGATGACACGGCTCTCTTTACATCCGCCAAATCCCGTGCGACAATAGCCAGACGGCTTCAGAAAGCCGTAACGATACTGGGCGAATGGTTCCGTCGGTGGCGCATAGAAGTCAATCCCGAAAAAAGTGCAGCAGTGTACTTTAGCAGGGAATTCGACTCTATGAATCACCCGATCGAACTATTCGGCCAAAACATCCCGTGGGTTTCGAAAACGAAATATCTCGGCGTCACCCTAGATAGGAAACTAACGTTTCGTCCTCACATCAAGCGTGTCCGCGACCGAGCCGCCTTTATACTAGGGCGACTCTATCCTTTTATTAACAAGCACAGTAAAATGTCGCTTCGCAACAAGCTGACATTATACAAGGCTTGCATCCGTCCCATCATGACCTACGCTAGTCCCGTATTCGCCCACATACCCTACTGCTTAATCAACAGACTGCAGGTCATTCAGAATAGGTTTCTGCGTCGAGCCACCGGTGCGCCGTGGTTCGTTCGCAGCGTAGATCTCCACCGCGATCTTAATCTGCCCTCCATCAAGCAGTTTATGAAGGAAGCGTCTCGACGCTACTTCGACTCTGCCCAATCCCACCCTAATCCGCTTATAGTCAGTGCGGTCGACTATGCACCGAGGAGTAATATCCGACATACGCGACAACGTCGCCCGAGGCACGTTCTCATTGACCCCGACGACCCCATAACGGCAGGTAACCTCCCCACGGGCCCACCCGTTCCACCCCGACCACACTTTTACACACACACACGACACCGTCCTCGCCGGCGAAGACGACGACCTCAAACACACAATATCGCGCATTCAACCGCTCCACACCGGCGCCCCTCCGATCGATCCCCCGTCCAATTCAAACGGGGATCGAAATTACGACGGCCTGAGCCGAGGTTCGAACCCCCTAGTGGTGCCCTCAGACTAAAGTCGTATCCGTCGGGCAGGAGTTGGCCTTCAGCCGCTCCATAAGTCCTTCCGCGGGTTTGGAGTGCCATCTGCACTCGCCCCATAACGTCCGGTGAAGCTGTAAAGGCCAGCTACGGCCAACAGCATTAGAGTAGTCCGAAAAAAAAAAAAAATAACAGGACTCAGTTCCGGAGTGTTCGTCAAAGGGTGCAGGTGATTATGTAATTATTTTATTAGTGATTCCCGCCAATTTCGTGGTAAGTGATTTAATTCTTTTACTTTAAATGCAGTGGTCTAATATATATTTAGGATGTGTTTGTTTCAGTTAAATATATATAGGGTTATTAAACCCAGTGCATGTATGTTAATTTGACTTATGGCCATAATCCAAACTTCGTTTGATTGTGAATAGAATAGAATAGAATAGAATAGAATAGAATGGAATAGAAAATCATTTATTCAAATAAACTTAATTTAAGCACTTTTGAATAGTCATAACAATTTGTTTTTTATCTACCACTCGTTCGGAAAGCTGCTTGAAAGTTTCTTGCTCGTTCTTCTTGTGATGAGACAGCACAATTTTTTTTGGGTCAAATATAAATATGCAATAAGATTAAATCAGTCGTAGTGATAAGAGCAGACCAGTCCCCACAAGCAGCACTCGTTTCACGAGTATGACGGATGAGCCAACCATCACTGCGCTCGACCATATTTTAGGGAGCCCAATGACCCGGCCCACCACGCCGCCACATGTCTGGACATTTTAGTGAGCATGACTACTCATTCCACACGACCACGTCACAGCTACAAAAATTACTATATGGTAGTTACAGTATTCGCACTTTAAATAAGGATGCATGCGGCAATCAATACAAAAGCCGCTACGCTATCATATATCAAGAAAGCAGTATGAAAATTAAAATTATAACGTTGTCCGCAAATAAACTTATTCTTGCTATATATTGCTATCATCTATAAATTCATCTATTTTATAATAGGCTTTTTTACATAACATTTGTTTAATATAAGATTTGAATTGCCTCTCTGTAAGATTTAGCGTAGACTCTGGCAGTTTATTATAGAATCTTACGCAATTGCCATAAAATGAATTACTAACTTTGTGTAGACGACATTTAGGTAAAATTAGCTTATTTTTATTGCGTAAGTTTCTACTTGTACAGTCTTTAAGTTTCGTGAGGCATTGGAGTTATAATAAGAATTTAGAGCCTCAATGGTTTGGTGGGTTAGTGCACGCTTTGTTTTCTGTTGTTGCGGGTTCGACTCCTCGCACGGCGTATGTATTGATGTGTATGTTTTGTTCCTAAGTATGTTATGTATGTGGTTACATAGATAAAGGTATATAGGTATTTATATCAGTTGCCTGACAACCGAGATGCAGCTTTACTTGCCTTGAGCAATGTGATGCTATGTGAATCGTCTAGATTTATTATTATTATTATTATTTGTTAGATATTGGAGTTATAATAAGAATTGATAACTCGAAGGTTTGGTGGCTTAACAGTACACGCTTTGTTTCCTGTTGTTGCGGGTTCGACTCCTCGCACGGCGTATGTATTGATGTGTATGTTTTGTTTCTATGTATGTTATGTATGTGGTTACATAGATAAAGGTATATAGGTATTTATAGCAGTTGCCTGACAACCGGGATGCAGCTTTACTTGCCTTGGGCTACGTGACGCTATGTGAATCGTCCAGATTTGTTATTATTATTATTATTTGTTAGATATTGGAGTTATAATAATAATTGACGGCCTTGATGGTTTGGTGGCTTACTGCACGCTGTTTCCTGTTGTTGCGGGTTAGACTCCTCGCACGGTGTATGTATTGATGTGTATGCTTTGTTCTTATGTATGTTATGTATGTGGTTACATAGATAAAGGTATATAGGTATTTATATCAGTTGCCTGACAACCGAGATGCAGCTTTGCTTGCTTTGAGCTAAGTGACGCTATGTGAATCGTCCAGATTTATTATTATTACTAATTGTTAGACATTGGAGTTATTATAAGAATTGAGAGCCTCGATGGTTTAGTGGCTTAGTGCAGGCCTTGTTTCCTGTGTTCGCGGGTTCGATTCCTCGCGCGGTGTACGTATTTGTGTTTGCGAGTATGTATGTTTGTAACAGGTAGGGATTTTTATG